AAGAGAGAGAGAGAGAGAGAAGGCTGCACATAATTTCGGATCTTTGGTTCCGATATTCCTTGCTTCACCGAGTCGCGAATCTCTCACTTTGACCTATGAGAATGGACTTTACGGCAGTCTTAATTGGATTATTGCATTCCTTTGTTCGCTGAACGAAACTGATTATTATCGTTCTGTCGACGAAAATGAAAACGGCGGAGTTCGGGATAACGCGGGAAATCTTGCGAAATATACGCGACATCGATCGGCATATCGTCTCGTAAGAATTTACTTCTCGCACTAACAAACTTCGTTATTAATAACATTCACAGTTTAGATACTCGTTAGGCGGAAAAGTTGGACTGGCTTGATAACGTCTGGAAATTTTTCCTCATTAGACTTATCAAGTCACTTCATTACACGATTACTTAACAACGATTACTCAACGATGTAACGGGAAGTAACGGTCGTATCAGATGTGTAAGTTGAAAATCTACCGATGCGTACTTACGAATGATACCAAGATGTTCATTCATTTACCGAGATACTTTGCAACATTGCGAATTATATGTATATATATATATATGCAATATACTCAGTTAGTATATATTAATTATCTATTAGGTAGATAATTAATAGAGTATACGAAAAGTAGCTTATCGACATTTTATCTTCCTTCATTATGAGCCAATCAATTAAATATTTAATATATGTTTAATTTAAATATTTTATATATGTTATCTGCAATTTTATCACTGTTTATTAATGAGTTTCTCTTGTTCATTAATAATTCCTTATTTTCTATTCTATTTTTATTTTCCATAAACATATCCATATTTGCAATACTCCTAAATATACAGGGTGTTTCGTAAGTCGAGATCAATCACTCGGAAGATGAATGGGGATCCAAAAATCAAAAGAAAAAAAAAGTTGATACGAACATAGGTCCGAAAATGCGTTGTTTTCGAGTTATTGTCATTTTTAGGTTACGAAATTTGAAATTGCTTTCGAATTTTTTTTTATCAAAATTAAAAAAAGAGATAATCTTTATGAGTTTTATAACATAATTAAAGTCAAATAAAAGCAGCCTATAAAGTTTTATTTAACTTTAATTATGTTACAAAACTCATAAAGGCCATTTTTTTCTTTCAATTTTGACAAAAGAGTTCGAAAGCAAAGCAATTTGAAATTTCAACATAAAGATGGCGAAAAATCGAAAAAAACGCATTTCCCGATCTATGTTCATATCAACTTTTTTTTGTTTTTGAGTCTCTAATCACCTCTCGAGCGGTTGACCACCACTTTTGAGACACCCCGAGTATATATTCAATGGTTCCTGATACTTTTGACAGAGTCTTTGACAGACTCTTTGACAGAGTCTGGAGACAATTCTAAGGAATATATTCTAATTTTGCAGATATGAAACCTTCGGACAGGAGCGAGAAGGCTATGTTGACCGGAAACGCGCAACCGTCGGACGTATTCTGTTCGGTCCCAGGACGATTATCGTTACTAAGCAGCACCAGCAAGTACAAAGTTACGGTAGCGGAGGTACAAAGACGATTATCGCCACCGGAATGTTTGAACGCGAGTCTTCTCGGTGGCGTGTTACGAAGGTAAGAAATTAATTTAACGGCAATTTCAGGCAAATGAATCTCACGCGCAGAAATAAATACAGTTATATTGATTGTTCCCCGTCGCGTCGGAGA